ACGCACACGCACACGCACACGCACACGCACACGCACACGCACACGCACACGCACACGCACACGCGCACGCGCACGCGCGCGCGCACGCGCACGCGCACGCCAACGCGCACGCGCACGCGCACGCGCACGCGCACGCGCGCGCGCACGCGCACGCGCACGCGCACGCGCACGCGCACGCGCACGCGCACGCGCACGCGCACGCGCACGCGCACGCGCACGCGCACTCGCACACGCACACGCACACGCACACGCACACGCACAGCACACGCACACGCACACGCACACGCACACGCACACGCACACGCACACGCACACGCACACGCACACGCACACGCACACGCACACGCACACGCACACGCACACGCACACGCACTCACGCACACGCACACGCACACGCACACGCACACGCACACGCACACGCACACGCACACGCACACGCACACGCACACGCACACGCACACGCACACGCACACGCACACGCACACGCACACGCACACGCACACGCACACGCACACGCACACGCACACGCACACGCACACGCACACGCACACGCACACGCACACGCACACGCACACGCACACGCACACGCACACGCACACGCACACGCACACACACACGCACACGCACACGCACACGCACACGCACACGCACACGCACACGCACACGCACACGCACACGCACACGCACACGCACACGCACACGCACACGCACACGCACACGCACACACACACACACACAGACACAGACACAGACACAGACACAGACACAGACACAGACACAGACACAGACACACACACACACACACACACACACACACACAACACACACACACGCGCACACACACACACCACAAGCACTTTCGCGGAAGGCTCTCCAGAGCAACGCAAGAACATGCTGGAAAACTTCCTGTTCCGATGACGGGCGCGCTCACAGGTTCCCGGAAGCCTCTCTGGAAATCTGAAACCACGCCCATGTGGGAGCCCTCGTGGAGGTTTCTCTGAGCGTGGCGTTCTGGGGCCGTTTTCGAAACCGGCGGGCCTTCTTCACCGCCCTCTCGGCGTGTCCATGCTGATTTAGAGAGCTGCCTGCACCGCTCTCAGGCCATCTCGGGTGCCCCTTGGGCCAGTTTGGTGCCGCCTAAGCGGAGCGGGCGACCACGCGAAAAGCAATGAAAGACCGATGGGAAAACAATGATTTGTGCCTATCGGGGCTGTGTCGGAAAACAGTTTAAAGCCCTCTTGGGCCGTCTTGGATGCCTCGCGGGCCGCATCGGAGCGGCGGTGGGCGTGCCACGGCAGGTTTGGAGCCCTGTGGGCCTCTGCGAGCACCCCCGTGGCCTGTCCAAGCTCAGTTGAGGAGCCACCTGGACCTCTCTGGGGCGATTTTGGGCGCCTCGTGGGCCGTCCTGGCGCCCGCTTGGGGTGTCTTGGAGCCCTCCTGGGCGCCTGTTCTGCCGTCTCCGAGCGTCGGGCAGCGGAGCAGGCGACCACACGAACATCCTTGAAACACACACGGGACATGAGCGATGTTCGCCCCTGGAGCCTCTCTCGGGGATGAGCTCGAAGCCCTCCCGGGCTCCCTGAGCCTACATCGGAGCAATGATGGGCGTGCTGGGGCCGTTTTGGGACCCTGGGCCTCGTTTAGGGCCCTTGTAACGTGTCCGAGCTCATTTGAGCTCACTTGGGGGACCGCCTGGAGCCCAGTGGGCGATTTGGGGCGCCTCTTGGGCCGTCTTGGCGCTCTCTTCGGGTTGTCTTGGGACCTTCTTGGGCGCCTCTTGTGCCGTCTCCAGGCGTCGGGCAGCGGGGCACGCGAGCACACGAACATACTCGAGACACTCAATGGAAATCAACGATTTTCGCCCCGACGGAAATCAACGAGCAGTTTCGAAGCGATGTGGTGCTCTCTTCACCCCTTGAGGGCCCCTTTTGGTGCCATCTGGGCCCCCTGGAGGGACCGTTTGGAGCGCGGAGGCCCGATGGGCCCCCCATCGGGGCCCTCTTGGGCCGTCTTGGGGCCCTCTGGAGCTGTCTTGGGGACCCCTTCGGCGCCTCTCGGGCAGCCGTGGACCCCGTGAAGGTCGGAAAAAAGCGAGTACGATTCAAGAAATCATCCCCAAAAAGTATTTCAAAGGGAATGGGCGATTTTGGCCTCCTGAGGCACTCTTGGGGGGCCTTTTGGGTCTTGTCGAGGCCATGTTGGGGCGTCTCGGAGCGCTCTTAGGTCTCTGTCAGGGCATCCTGGAGGCCTTATGGGCGGTCTGGAAGCTATCCGATGCGCTCTTGGAGCACTCTCGGGCGGTCTGGGAGCCTCTGGGGCCTCCAGAACCGCCGGGGGGGGGGCAAGAATGTACAAGGGAAGGGCCATCCTGGGGCCCTGGGGCTGGGATCTCCTGTATATATGTGTAGATAAGTCTGTAGACATGCGTAGAAACAAAACCTACATTCTACAGCTAGTACTGCGACATGTGCTGCTGCAGATGCTGTTGATGCTGCTCTGTGGATTCTTCTCATCCTATCGTGCTCCTGCTTCAAGTATCTCATCCGAGCTCTTACTCGCACTGCTCTCACAAACCCGTACTCTGACAAATCATATCCGTAACCAGGGACTCACAATCAACAGCATTGTCGTTGTCATCGTTGGCGCAGCTGCCGTTCATACTGTCGAGGGAGGCAAATGGTCGCCTGGCCGCCTGTTCCAGAAGGTGTCCAGTTCGGGTGCCTGCGGAACTCGATTCGGAACACGTCTCCAATTTGACCGCTAATCCTCGTGGGCAGGATTGAGATATTAATGTTGAGGTCGCGCGCAGAGACAGGGGGGAGAGAGAGCGAGAGAGAGAGAGAGAGAGAACAGCAGACATACAATATATATATATATATATATATATAGAGGAATATACACAAACATGATAATCTATATACACATAGACTAGATGTAATGGCATATATGCAAATATAACTGAGTATATGCTCTGTTCGACAAAGACGGAGAGATACATAAAGAGAGAGAGAGAGAGAAAGCATATATATACTGATAGAAGGGAGACAGGGGGTATAGGAGGTGGGGGAAGAAAGGAGATAGAGGTGGGGAAAAAGAGGGAAGAGAAGGGAGGAAAGAGGAAGGCACAATTGGAAGGTAGACAGGACGGAAGAGGACACGGAGGAGGCAGGAAAGGAGCGACGGAGGGAGGAGAGGGAGGGGTCGGGGGGAGAGGAAGGAGTGAGGGAGGGATATACCGCGGGTTCGTGTCGTGTCGACCCTGGCGTTGGTTCCTGACACCGCGGGGATCGTTCAACCTTGAACGATCGGCCGTTTCCGAAACGTCAGATCGTATAACATCGCGCGATTCTGGGCCACGGGCGGCGATCAATCTTGAACGCCCGCGTTGGGGTCGCCGCCGGTCGACACTGCGCAACCTACCGCACAGGCCGCATAAGTGGGGTCCGAGCAGATGGGGTCGGAGGATCGCGCGGCATCGCCCATGGGTCGCCGAAGCGATGGGCGGCTTCTCGATCGCCAGGTCGTTCCGCATTGACCGATGCTTGGCCACTGGCAACGTTCAACCTTGAACGCCCGTGGCCGGGTCGTCGCCGCGTCGACAGCGCACCAACGTACCGTCCCGTTCCCTGCTCCCCCTGGCGTGGCCTGGGCCCCACTGGCCGAATTGCCTCCACTGACGGGGGGGAAACATGCTGCTCCCTTCAGGAGTCGAGGGGCAGGTCCCCCAATGGAGTGGTGGGGTGGTGTGGCTGAGATGCCCTGGCCCAGTGGGTGTACGGCAGGTTCGCGTCGTGTCGACCCCGGCGTTGGTTTCTGACACCGCGGGGATCGTTCAACCTTGAACGATCGGCCGCTGCCGCAACGTCCGATCGTTCGACATCGATCGATTCTGGGTCGCCGGCGGCGTTCAACCTTGAACGCCCGCGCCGGGGTCGCCGCCGGTCGACACGACACGAACCTACCGTATAGGGATTGGATGAGCGACGCTGAGACCACGATCGCGGAGGCCGAGCCGGAGCGCCGGCGTCTCCGCCTCGTGGGAGCGCGCTAGCCGGGCGGCGGTGGACGTCGGGCGGCTCGCCTCGCAGCGCAAGGGCCGCCGCCCCCTCCCCCCCGGGCGGGTCTCAGGGGATCGGTGGTCGAACTGGGAGGATCGAGAGGTCGTTCTTCGCTTTCTCTTGCGGGTCGACGCTCTCCGACGCCCTCCGGCGCGAATCGACGCTGAGTTGACTCCACATCGACGCTCATCGACGCCAAGTCGGAGCACTGTCATCGATTACCAGACGCTAACACACACACGCCAGTGCACTTTAAAACGCCAGTGCGCTCCAAGGAGTGACCCCAGGCAGGTGAGACCTTTGGTGCGCGGCTTTCCGGTAAGGGGGGGTCGAGCCCGAGCGCGCAAGCTGCTGCTATCGCATCGCATTCAGCCACCTGGGGCCCCAGCGTGCCCGCGCACAAGGCCACTACTTCGACAAGTCACTCCTACGTGTAGCCGAGGATTGATGTGGTCAGCCTCAGCGTATTTTCTTCAAGTTCGGCTTCAACGGGTCACATAACGTCGCGCATGCGCCCCGCGATGAACAAAATCGAGAGCCACATAACGTCGCTGCGATCTCGAGAGGAATCGACCTGTGTTAACAAGATGCGACGCCAAGATCTCAGGGTCCACAGCCTCCCCCAGGTCCAGGAATACCGATTCCCCAGGTGGTGGATCTGTAGAACCCCCTGCCTCGTAACAAGGGGGGGAGGAAGAGAAGCTCGCTCACCACGAGGGGAAGGCAAGGGAGAGAATGATCCGACCCTTCCAATACCATGGGCCGTTCCTTCCGACAAGCGACGGCGGCGGGGGCGGCTGAAGCACAGGAGGAGGTCTCCTCCCACCCCGCGGGATCGCAACGCGCTTGCGCGCGGCGCGCGCGCGCGTCACGGATGCCACCCTTTTGGCGCGGAAGGACCACGGAGAGCCTCGCCAGGGCGACGCGCCCGCGCGCGCGCTGTCAGGCCCGGGGGCCGAGGCCGAGCAGGGCCGGGGGGACGCGCACGACGAGGTGAACGAACAGGTCCTGGCGGGAGACCGGAACCCACATCTCCGACGATCTGCCATATCTAGGCGGCGAGCGAGGGGGGGGACGTGAGAAGGGGCGGGCCTTCTCAGAAGTTTCGGAAGTCCCCTGGCCTTCTGAGAAGTTTTCTAAGCCTTCCCCGAAGCCAGAAACAACTTCTCAGAAGGCGCGAGGGCTTCTGAGAAGTCCCGCCGCCTTCTGAGAAGGCCTTCTCCGTCTCACTTCGCCCCCTCGCTCGCCGCTGAATATTCAACGGCGGCGTGTTCCTCGACTTCGGCCCCTGAGGGCCGTGTGTATCGGGCTCTGGGGGCCGTCAAAATGGTCCAGGGACAGCAAATCGTCCCGTCTGCGGGCAGGCTCGCCCCGATGCCCCCTCGCGAGATCCAGGTACGCGGCGTGCAGCGCGAGCCAGTAGAGCGGCGTGTCCAGGGGCACGAGCACGCCGTGGGTCAGCACCTCCACGCCGTCGGCGAGGCGGGCCGGGACCGGCGCCAGCCCCTGGGCGAGGCGGGCGCGGCCCGCGGCGTCAAAGAGGGGCGGCATGGCCCGCTGCAGCAACCCGCCGACCGTGGCCAGCGAGCCGTCGTCCTCGGGGAGGCCCGCCAACTGCCCGCCAATGTGCCGTGGGCGCTTCTCGGAGGGACCTCGGGCCCCTGCAGATGATCTTCAGAGCGCAAGTTGGAGCGTTTGAGCAGCGCCCAAAGGTACCTCAATACACACAGGCGTTTCCAGAGGGAAGGGGCGGCGGTTATTCACCAAAAGCGTCTGCGATACTCCTGCACCGACCCTGGCCAGGCCTCTCGGGCCGAAGATTGGTGCACACAGACGTCGGATGTCTTGATGTCTTGATTTGTCAACGCGGGGTCCCCAGAAGACCCCACCCGTTCCACAGGACAGGTCAATCTTATCCTGAGCCGTTGTTTTACAATCCTGGGGCTCCGTGCAGGGGTGCAAAATGAGGAGGAACCTCTGCCTTGATTTTATGTGCTGGGTGGGCTTTCATGGGAGCATCTGTGGACCTCCGCGGCCTCATCAGAAACGTGGTTAGAACATCGAAATCGCATCGGATGGAGCCAGCCAGAATCGTTATGGAATCGGATCCATCGCATCGGAATGGGCCCTGCTGGGTGGGAAGTATTCCTCCCCCCCCTTGGACACCCCCCGAAAACTCGGCACGCCGCTGCCAAGGTCCTCTAGCGGCGCCGCCGGGAGCAACAGCGCGTCATGCGGGGGGCCGTAGAAGTGGATCCGCACGGCCAGGCTCCGACACCTCCCCAGATGTGGAGCCGAACGACCTTCAACTCCTCCTTCTCATCATCAGGACTCAGGACTGAGGACATGTGGTCCAAGATGGGTGCTGCCCTCGGTCCCGCCCCTCCTTCGCCCAGCAGCAGAGCATCGCCGAAAATGGGGACGGGGGCTTCATAAACGTGGGCGGCGCAATAGCCGACAGGTGACTCTTCCTCGTCCTCCTCCTCCTCCTCCTCCTCCTCCTCCTCCTCCTCCTCCTCCTCCTCCTGCTCGCCCATTCTGCTGGCACATGACTCACACGGATCGCGCTGGTGCTGTCCCTCGGCTCAAGCTGGAGCATCATCGATTTGCTCCAGGTTCCACTGGATATCTTTGGATTCACCTCGACGTAAATGGATTTACCTCGATGTATCTCGATCAGCCTCAACTTCCAGGGCTCGACCCCCGCAAGTCGTTTGGAGAAAAGTCATCCAGCAATCACGACAGACGGGTGAGGAGCAATGAGCATCTCCTCCTCCCTCCGCCCTCCCTCCCTCTCCCTCCGCATCCCTCCCTCCCTCCCTCCGCATCCCTCCGCGTTACGCCTCCCTCCTCCTCCCTCCGTCTTCCCACCCACCCTCCTCGCCATGCAGGAAGCGGGCGATGTAGGCAAATTCAGGGCTCTCCCTCGAGGAGAAAATCCAAAATCAATTACTCTCGTTTTGGTCTGGCTCTGCCCGCCGACAGCTCGGGGCTGTCAGACGTTTGGAACCAGAGCCCCACATCCGCCTCGCCTACCCAGCATACCGCGGCCTCCAGGCTCAAAGAACCCCCGGTTACCCCGGCGCATTCCGCCTCGATCAGCCTCACCAGGGAGGCTTCTCACACATAGCCCGCGAAACATAATGCGTTCATGCCGAGCATGCGTGTCATCTGCAACGAGCAAGCATACCCAATTATGACGCGATGCGATGCGATGCGACCACCGTTGCCGAGAGTGTCCCAGCCTAGCTCAGACCGGGTGGGTGAGGCCGTGGCCTCGAGAATCTGGCTTGTCTGGATAAGTGTAGCATGTCGCACTGCACGGTCACACGCGACACACCTCAAACGACGCGCAGCAGGCACCTGGTGCGGACCCTAGTAGCGGCTGCCGGCCCTCCTCCTGAGAGACGAGAAAAGGCATGTCAAAAAAACATCAACTGTCGGAGTGTAAGGCGCCGACGCAAGAAACTCACACAGACCTTCGAAAGTGTTCGATTAAGCAGCTTGCCATATTATTCGTCTGAGCGCATCGTCATTCCCCAGGGAGGGGGAGGAGGAGGAGGAGGAGGAGGAGGAGGAGGAGGAGGAGGAGGAGGAGGAGGAGGAGGAGGAGGAGGAGGAGGAGGAGGAGGAGGAGGAGGAGGAGGAGAAGGAGGAGAAGGAGGACAGGACAGGACAGGACATCCGCATGAGGGGGTCAACGCCGAAACGCCCGCAAAGGATCTGTGGTCACGGGACCGAGGAGGAGGAGGAGGAGGAGGAGGAGGAGGAGGAGGAGGAGGAGGAGGAGAAGGAAAAGGAGGAAGAGGATGAGGAGGAGGAGGAGGAGGAAGAGGAGGAGGAAACGGGAACGAGGAAAACGAGGACGATGACGATGACGAGGAGAGGCGTTTACCCGTGGACGGGCGTTGTCCTGGAACTGCCGACATGCATGAGAGGATCGTTTCAAGCGACCGCGACGCTGCGGCTGGAGGAGCAAGGATCACACGGATGGGCCCAGAAACCCTGACATGTCTTACTTCCGCCAACGTCCGCCTGCCTTCCGCCACCCTCCGCCCGCGGAGGCGGCCTCGTCTTCCTTCCGCGGGCGTCCGCCGCCCCTCCGCCGAGGGAAAAATGGCAGCGCCTTCGATCCCCGAAGGCGAGGCCATCCCTGGATCGCCCCACGCGGAAACACGTCCACAGTTCGGGTGGTTATGGCGATGGGGCCCGCGCCCAGACGTCGTGACCCTGTGGCGCACCCCGAGGCCTCCACGCCCTCCCCAGGACCAGCCCTCCCTCCCGAGCCGTCTTTCTCGACGGCCCCGTGGCGTGGCGAGGGCTCCCCTGGAACCCAGCATCGAAGAGCGAGACATGTACAGCCGAGCATCTGATCCAGAAACATTCGGCGGCGCGCAGAGGGGGAAGGAACAGGGGGAAGGCTTCTTAGAAACACCCCTGCTTCTCAGAAGGCTCGGGCCTTGTCTGCAAATGTACGGCTGGTGCCTTCTAAGAAGCAGCTCCTTTTAAGAAGCCTTCCCTCCTCCCCCTACCCCCGTGTGCGCGCCGCCAAAATATAGTGTCCGCTCCTTCCTCCTCCTCCTCCTCCTCCTCCTCCTCCTCTGCGCCGCGCGCGGCGCTGTTGTTTGCGCGCCGCGGCGGCGGGCGCCCTGTGGTGCGAGCGCGGCCGTGCTCTGGGCGCCCGTCGCCCAGCGGCCACCTGCTGGCCGCAGCCGCCTCCACCCCCCGCCTGCCCTCGCAGGGAGCGTCACCTTGGGCGCGGGGGGTGGGACCTCCGCCGATGGCGGGGGGAGTGGGGCCACGGCGGCACTGCGCGGCCGCTATCCCCTGGGCGCCCCTCCATGCTCCCCAGATTGACGATGTGAGGAGGCATCGGGCTGGCCGAGGGCTCACAGCAGGCGGCGCAACAGCGCCTTACATTTAGCCACAAGTGCCATCTCTCGGCTCGACAGGCGTCCTCGCTCCAGCATCGCCACGCCATCCTGGATGTAAATCCTCGTTGTCGGCTGGTGCCTCCGGCGGCCTCGCGCACGGGTTTTGCTCAAGCTGCACATGACCTGGAAGTGATGCGTGGCGCCCCCCCGGCGCAGGCTATAGGGCCGATGGCGACCGGGATCGGCTCCCATCTGCCCCACCAAGCGGCGGAATCTTGTCTTGAAGCCTGCAACTCCTCGGCGGGAAACCATGGCCCCGCCTGGCGCGCTACCCCGCCCTCGAGCCAAGAGAACCACTGCCTCGAGCTCGTCTATGACAACGTGCTCGGCAACTCCAGCGCGCTTGCCGCCCTTGGTGAAGCCGAGGTTGATATGCGCCAAACCGCGGTCGAAGTGCCACGCGAGCTGGCTCGCATGCAACATGGCTTCCACTGGGCGAAGTAAGCCGTTGAAGCTCACGAGGATGGCGGCCGCCATGGCGGCGTCTCCCTCGGACAGGGCAAACCCTGCCATGGCCGAGGCCTGCTCAGGCAGTGGCGGCCTGGCCCATCGAGGGGGCCTCGTTCTTCGACCAAGTCGAGAAAAGCCGCCGCGAATCATTGTGCGCACGCCGCAAGCACGGGACGAAGTGCTGTAAACTGGACCAGACGTCGCCGACCATTGACTTGGCTTCGCCGCGTGCCCAGCACTCCTCCAAAAACTCTCCCAGAACCTCGTCGGCGGCAGCGACGGACTGGGGCGTCGGCTCGTTGCGCCTGTCGAGCCAAGTGGAAGAAAAGTCGGCGGCCCCAGCGTAGCGCTTCAGCGTGCGCGGCTGGAGTTGAAATGATCGCAATGTGCCTGCTGCTGCTCGGTTGCGTTTTCTCTGCTTTCTCGTGCCTGTCGCCAGAATGGTCGCCGCCATCGGCTTGGCGCGTCGGCCGGACCGAGCTCCGACCTCGCAAACACGTAAAAGGGATGGCACGAAGTAGACAGCAGGAGCGCACCCAAGCGCATGAGCAACCGTTGCAGCAGCGAAGAGGTAGACCTGCCCTTGCAAACCACGGCGATGCACACTTGCGAATCGCAGAAATGAATCAGTCGGCCCCCCTGGGCGGAGGTCGCGCGCAGGCGCCGCCGACAAGAAGTCAGCAGCGCCTGCGTCTCAAGCACATTCATATGTCGACCCCCACCCTGGGGAAAGGAGACGCTTACTTTCCACTGCCACATGTGCGCTTCCACCCCTCGGCGCGGCCAGCCAGCTGGGTCGTGGACGTGCCCGCTCGCTGCGCGCGCATCGCTGCCCTTGAAGATGGCAGAGCGGACCGGGCCCTCGCACGTGGCGTTGCGCACCTCGCTGACATTCGCGTCGGAAGGGTGCCTTGCCCAGAAGCTGGCCGAGGCATTCGCCCGCCTCGGCGCTGCGAGCCCCCCCCCCCCCCCCCCCCCCCCCCCCCCCAGCAGTCAGCAATGGTCGGCGGCCGCTCCCGCGCGCCCACCGCCAGGAGGCCGCGGCCCAGCAATATCGCCACCACGGGGGCCGAGAAGGTGCTGCCGTAGAGACCACGCCGCACATCGCCCACCTCGCGGTCTGACAGACCCGCGGACTTGGGCACGGTCCACAGGCAGTGCTTGGCTGGAAAGCCCAACCGCACGGCCCTCTCCGCACTCGTCAGAGGGCGGAGGCACCCCTGGTGATCATAGACCGCGTTGCCGAGCTTGTACTGGTACGGGGCGTAGCCATGCTGATCTGCCCCCCAGCGAGCCCGCGCGGCAAGTCCCGTGCTCGCGAGGCCCGCGGGGGTAATTTGTGGCTCCTCGCGAGGCATTGGGCGCATGAAGGTCGCCCAAGCTCCATGCTCTCCCCGCGGACGGCTCGCCCCGCCCTCGAGCCACTCGGCCCAGGTAGGCCATGCTCCTCGGAGCGCCCCTCGGATCACCACGGCCTCGATCTCCCAGCTCATCTCAGGGGTCTGCGGGCCCAGCGCGAAGTCGAGCCAGAACGACCTCGGCCTCCTGACCGGACTGCAGCCGCTGGCGCAGAGCTCGATCGGCACTGAACCCAGCACCCTGGTGAAGTGGCGGCGGCCCTCCTCGCCCATGGAGCTGACGTTCTCCGCGAGGGACAGCGCCGCGAGCTCAGGGCACGCCTCCCGCGCCAGCGCGGCGACGCGGGGAATGTGCCTGACCAGCTGGGTACGTGCCTCGGCCCAGCCTCTCGTGGTCGCGTTGACCCGCGCGACGCCTTGGCAGGGCGACTCGCCGAGGACGAAAGGCAGCGCGGTCGGGCCATCGCTGCCGCACCGCGCGCGCGCTCGGCGGGTTCGAAGACCTCAGGGGAGGCGTGGATACTGACCTCAATGCCGGGCCGTTCCAGGGCCGCGCGCCCGCCGCCGATGCCCCCGAACAGCTCGATGACGCCAATCTCGCCCCTGTTTGCCCCTCGGCCCTGCGCCAGGACTGACATGGCCGAGTCGCGAAACTGTAGGCGGAGGCACCTCGTCCAGCAAGCTCCGCCACCCCTCTCCGACGCGTCGCTCGCGGCGATCATGCTGCCCACGGGCGCGCGGAGGTCAAACTCGCGCAGCGGCAGCAGGCTGAGAGCCAGGGCCAGCTCGGCGCAAACGTCCGTCGGCAGCGGACAATAATGCGCCGCAGCCTCCGAATGCCCGTGCCGCACTCGCGCCTGAAGCAACTCAGGTGACACCGATGCCCGGCGACCACCTGGGCCCCCTACCTGCTGACAGCCTCCGTTAGCCGATGGGCCGCCAGCTGGGCACAGAGGGCTGCCCTGGAAGGGGGGGCGCGCGCGCGCCCGTCTCTGCCGTCGACCAAGGCCCCCAACCGCTGGCAGGAAGGCACGCGCGTCCCACTCCTCGCTAAGCGGCACGTCTCGCTGGGCGTAGCGGTCGCGCGCGCTTGCGGCGAAGCCGCCCTCTGGCTCCGAACGTCGCCGCACGAGCACGGCGTAGTCCGCGTCGTCGCAGTAGACCTGCCAGAGCTCCCTCAAGGCCGAGCCCTCCCGCTACGCAGGGAAAGACATGTCCTTGCGCACCTCGCGGCCCCATGGGCAGCGGCGAGGGTCCCAGCTCGGCCTCGGACAGCATGCGCCTGTGCATGCACTGCGCCAGACCCATTGCGTTCTTGTGCCCCATCGGCAAGGTGACAGCGCCCAGGTAGACCTGGTCCCCGAACGGCGCCCCCAAGCCCAGGCTCGCCGCGTCGAACACCGAGTCGAACGCAAACAGCGGCGCCCAAGCATCGAGCAGCCTGAGGAGGTAGAAGGCCCCCTCGAGGTCGTCGAACGACCACGCGAGCTCCTCGTCGGGCCCCAGCACGATGGACATCCACTGCGCGAAGTATGGCAGGGCGCCAATGTCTCCCACAAGGTCGAGGGAGACCTCGTTCGTCGCGGTGAGGTTCATGATGGGCCTCAGCACCTCCCTCCCTTCGGGGTCCTCAGGGGCCACCTGGCTCTTGGGCACGCCGAACAGCCCATTGAGCAGAGGCTTGCCCTGGATCTTCAAGAGGTCTGCCTCCCGAAGGGGAATGACCAGCCCTCGCTCCAGAAGCCCGCGCGCCAGATGAAGCAGCGACTCCTGCTCGCATATGACGCGCCCAGGCTTCGGGCGGATTGGCACCGCATCCAGCGGCGCCAGCGTCGAGAGCGGATCGTCGAACCAGCAAGCCATGCGCTCGCCGCAGAGGCCCACGACCCGCAGCGTCGCACTCCGATCCTTGGGCGGCAGCCCAGGCAGGATACGGGCCCAGCTCAGCTCCTCGGCTCTCCGGACCGCCTCCACGGTATAGCTGATGCTGCGCGACGCCAGGAAGGTCGACGCTGGCTCGCTCGGCAGCAGCTCAGGCACTCCGCCTCCCTCGGGAAGTGGCTGGTCGTCCCAGGACTGCCTCCTGCCTCTAAGGCAGGCCCCCCCCCCCTGCGGCGCTGGGGCCTGCGCCGCGGGGGGGGCCCTCGCCCGCGGACGGGCGAGGTCAGCGGGCGCCCCTGGCAGGGCTGCCGCCGCGGGCAGCCTGCCGCTTGGCCTTGGCGGCCTGCCGCATCTTGACGAAGAAGGCTGAGGTCCCCAGCTTCGGCTGGTCGGTCTTGGAGTCCTTGCCCTTGCCGCCACCTCTGCCCGTGCCCCGGCCTTTTCCTTTGCCCTTCCACGGCAGGGATCTGCTGGATGAGCGTGGCCTGGGCCCGCCGCGACCTCGACCTTCTTCGACGGACGGCAGGCCCCCCTGCCTGTCTCCAGGGCGCAGGCTGGCCGCGGGGCTGGCAGGATTGCAGGTCGCCCGCTGAGGTGCGCCCCTCGAGAAGCGCACTCGGTCGCCTCCGCCACGGGGCGGAGAGGAAGCGCCCACCTCGGAAGCGCCCCGAAGGACCACCGGACTGCGCTCTCGCGAGCCCGCGGCCGCGAATGGCCCGGGGCCAGCGATGGCTTCCCCGAGCCCGGACTCCGCGGGGGGGTGGCGACGCCTCCCGCGCGCCCCCCGCGGGGGTTTGTCAATGCACGGCGGACTTGCGGCCCTGCGCCTCGGACAGGAGCGTCGCGTGCTTCATGTCCGACTTCTCGTCCTAGAGGATGCCCCGCCGCTCCGCGTCCCCCATGGCCGACGCCTTGCTGGCCCCCGCGACGCTGAGGTGCCTGGCCGCCCGCCACGAGCCCCCGTCGGCGCGGCGCTGCCCCGCCGCCTTGAACTGCTGAGTCAGCAGGTCGGTGGCGCGACCCAAGTTGGGCAAGAGGATCGAGTCCACGGCCTCCGACAGCATCCGCATCGCCTGCTCGAGGCGGGCACTCTGCTTGCCCTAGCAACTCGGCAGGAAGACGCTCGTGAAGTACGTGGTCATCACGGGGCGCGTCGGGTCGCCCGAGCCATGGCCGCGAGCGCCAAGGTGCGACCTCACCTTGCCCAAAGCACGCTGCGTGATCTCGCCCAGCTTCCTCCCCGCAATGCGCTTGGTCCTGTCGCGTGCCGAGAGTCGGGCGTCGGGAATATGATCCCGCGAACCGCTGGTGGAGCGAGAGCCCTAGCCGTCGTTGCTCGCCTTCCGGCGGGATCGAGAGCGGCGAGAGCGACCGCTGCCCCCGCCCCCCGACCGCGACCCGCGCCTGGGCTGCGAGCCTGCGCCGCCCTGGACCGATGCCTTCGACAGGATGCGGTCCTGGAGCGACTGCGCGCCCTCTCCCCTGCGGTCTGAGCGGCTGCTCGAGCGGCCACGCCACGCCTCGCAGAGCGGCCTCCTCCACACCCCGTCGCCCTCAGCCTCGCGGGCCCGTGAGCTGCTGGAGCGGAGGCGGACGACGGATCTGGCACTCTCGCGCTTCGCGGCGGGCTGCAGACCTAGCTTCCCGTCCGCCACCCGATCGCGGAGGCTCTCGAGCTTCTCCCTGAGGCCGCGCTCGCGCCCAGCGACCGCAGAGGCATGCGCTCTCGCGCCGCCCCCTGGACCCTCCCGCTCTGGCGGGGCCTCGTCGTCCCCCGCCTCCTCGTCATCCTCCACGGGGGTCGAGGGCATCCTCGGCTTCGTCGCACCCGAGGGACGTTCCCTTGCCTTCGCCTTCGCCCGTGCGGCGTGGGTGGCCCTGCCCACCCTGGCACGAAAGACCCCCTGCCCCGCGTAGCCCAATAACGGCAACTTCGAGTACCTCCAGCGCCCGACGTGGATGATCGCCGCGTCGTAGGACTTCAAGCCCGAGCCCTCCTGCACGCATAGGCACTCGCTGTGGTCCGTGCCAGCAAGGCAGAAGTGCATGAGCCTCGGCGGGGTCATCGAAGGCGACACCCATCCGGATACGCTCCGCCTCGAGCTCCGCCCCAAGGTGCACGACCTCGAACATCCCGTCGACGCCCGCTCGGCCGTGCTTGCCCTTGCGGCCGTCGGCGTCCGCCGCGGGCCCCAGCACCTTGAAGGTGACGAGGCCGTCGAGCTCGACGTCGACGATCAGCGCCTCGCCGCGCCTGGGCCCGAGCTTCGCGGGCGTCGCGTGAACACTATAGTGCCACTCCGACGCCCTGCGCTCCGCGCCTCGCGTCACCGCGGGCTCGAGCCACTCGCCCTCGACGTCGAACGCCTCGCCGCTGCCTGCCTCGGGCACCGCGGCAGACCTCCTCGCCGCTTCGCGACGGTCTCCGCCTCGCGGGGCTGACCGCCCGCGCGGCACGCCGCCGCCGCCAGCGGCTGTGCCGCCGTGGCTGCTGCGGCAGCGCGGGGCGACACGCCCGCCCGCGGCCGCGCGACCGCCACCGCCGCTTCCGCGAGTGTGGGCGCCACCCGCAGGGCGCGGCACGTCGCGGGGACGTCCGCGGGGGCCACCTGCGCCGCCCGTGTGAGGCGGCCCGCGGCTGGCTCGCGCGGCGCGGACCCGGCCCTTGAAGCGCCGTGCCGCACCGCCTGGCCCGACATGCCCCGCGCCAGCGGGCCGCCTCGCCACGGGCGCCGAGGGCCGCGAGGCGGGGCGCCGCATCGCGGCGGGGGGAGGCATCTCTGCCTGAGCCACTCCGAGCCACGCCCGGGCTGGCCTCCCCCGCGCGGCGCCAATCGCACGCCAGCGCGCGCCCGCGCGCGAGCGGGTGGGCGCAAGCACCCGTCTTGAGCCCCAAAAGGCTGCAATGAGGTTGGAATGACCAGGAGCTCGCACTGATAAACGAAGTCGAATATCTATGATGTTTGAAATCTGATAACAAACCTGGGCCAAGTTCTGTTGTTGACGCTGGAGGGGCGAACGCGCTCAAGAAACTGGGCAGGCTCTCCAGAAACCTAGTTCGGAAACGTCGGCCCAGCTTTTCGAGAGGAGCTTTTAATCATATGCTCGACTGTAACAAGACTCCGACGCCACTTGCTCACGACGCGAGGACGAGCTGGACAACCCAGCTTGAAGGCGGCCGGGGGGGCCGAGCTGGTTGGGGCCCGAGAAACCTACCAAGAATGAGATCCACTCAAAATCTGCCGTTTTCGACGGTCCGGCAGGTCCGAAAACGGCCCCCGGATACCGAGAAGGAAGAAAACCTTCCCGAACCCAGGACCTCGAACCTCACCCCCCTTTCGGCTGGCCAGAAGAAGCGCTGAGCCACCTCAAACTCCCAGCCGACTCCAAAGGAGGAGCCCGACGGCCCGGCTTCGGCACCTCTCCAGGCTATCGCACTGCAGCTGCTGCTGCGCCGCAGCGTACCGCTTGAGCGCCTGCTCCATGCGGCTCGCCGTGAAAGTGTCCTGCGGGCGCGGCATGTCCAACAGGACGCCCTTCGGAGGGTGGCTCCACTGTGGGTTCGCCACCTCCCCAGACTCTCGCACTGGCGGCGAACACATCCCCAAATGTGCGATGTCCTGATTTGGTCGATACGGGGCCCCACTCCGTCCACGGAGCTGTTTTTTCGTCGCGAGTCGTTTCTTGAAGGCCCCGGGGCCCCACAGAGGCCGAACATCTCGAACGACCCCCCGCCCCGATTTTTCCCGACGCCAGCATGTCTGGGTCCAGACCTCCATGCCTCCACGGTCTGGACACCGACGCGCGATCCGAAGACTTCGCGGCCTCATGGAAGCGCTCCGCTGCGGGGCGTCCGCGCAGAGCCGCCCTGCATCCACGAGGTCGCGGCCCAGGAGCCTGGACCACGAGGCTGTGGACACGTGTCCCGCGTACGACTCTCGCCGCTCCGTCGCACATACCCCTTCGACTTCCCTTCCTTTCCCTTCCCTTCCCTTCCCTTCCCCTCCACTTTTCCGCCTCCCTCGCTTCGCCCATCGCTCCTCCCCTGCCCCTCTCCACCCTTTTCGGCCTCTCCCCCCCGTCCAGTGTCCTCCACCTCCCCCCACTCTTCCCTGGGGCACCTCCCTCCCCACTTTCTTCCGCCACCAAAGCCCGATCATAATCAACTCCTGGACCCCTCTTGGGAATCATCCTGGCAAGTCCTTCATCCTGGATCGGGGATCTACTGACCTGGGTCAAGCCAGACCCAGGTCAGTCGGGCCTTGCAGGATCCTGCAAGATCCTGCAGGATCCTGCGCCCAAGGCCAGGTCAATGCGATCTTGGCTCTGCAGGATCCTGCAAGATCCGGCGCTCTGACTGACCCCTGTTTGCAATGACCCCCGTCTCTCGAGTCCCGAATGGATGTCCTTGTCGGTCCCGAGGCCCGAAATGACCCTTTCTCGTCGCACCTCACGACCCTCTACCCTTACCCTCCTCCACCATTGGCGGCGCGCACAATGGGGTAGGGGGAGGGGGAAAAGCTTCTTAGAAGGAGGCTGCTTCTTAGAAGGTGCCGGCCGTACATCTATAGATAAGGCCCTCGCTTTCTGAGAAGCAACCTCCTTCTAAAAAGCCATCCCCCGTCCCGTGACCGACACTCCTGTCCTGCCCATACATCCAATCTCTTGATTTTGCCACTGCAAGCCCAAGGATGTCCCCCCGTCCCTTTTCCCACGGCTGGCTCGTCATCCCGAGCCGTCTCTTGACGCTCCCGGAGCCCCAAACTGGCCCCCTGCAGGCTGAACACAGCAAAACACCTTCGCCTGAGTTCTGTTCAGGGCAATGGATGTCTGGGTGCCGCCCAGCGTGCTCTCATTGAAAAAAGTACAAGGGAAGACATCCGTATAGATTCTGCTCAGGTCGTTGGATGTCTGGTTGCCGCACCGCGTGCCCCCTGCACCGCCCTCCTCCCCCGAACATCGTTTCAAAGATCGCCATCCCCGCTTGTCATGGCCTTGGCCCCACTGGCCGATCTACCCCCTAGATGTGGATATAGGCTGCTTCCTTCGGGTTCCGAGGGGCCTATCCCCAACTGGGGGGGCTGAGGGGCAACGATAGGGGGGGACTGGCGTAGGGGGGGGGGGAACATCGAGCTGGGATTGGCGATACATCGCCGAAATATCGGCGACGGCCCCCAGTGGCGAATCCGCACGTTCCTGGGCGGGGTGGGGCTATCGGACCCCTCATCGGCGATCAATGGGCTAGTGGAGCTCGATGCATCCCCACTTATGCCTACGCCCCCCCCATCGTTGCTTCTGAGGGGTGGGATGGCGGGCTGACATACCATGGTGTGGACGGGGATTAAGACATGAGATGTCCTGATTTGTCGGCACGGGGTCCCTAGAAGCCCCGACCCATTGCACGGGGCCGATTTTGCATCCCGACTTTTTTTTTGTTGACGGGCCCGGGGCCAGGCGAGGGCCCAGGCCGAAAACTGAGAAACAACTTCCCTCCTGATTGTTCCACTGCGCGAGCATGTCTAGGGATAGATGAAAACATGTCGGCCCCCCCGAGCCCTCGCGCGGCTCCTGGGGTGTGTGGCCGGTCCCGAAGCCCGCGATGGCCTCCGCGCGGCGGCTGTCCGCAAAGGGTCGCCGCTTGGATCGCCGCAACGAAAGGGGCCCTGGGAGTCACTCTTGTATATACATATATATATAGACATATACAGCCCCCATGATTCCCCATCTTCTCTATATGATATAAATGTCCGTCGTCCTCTCCACTTCCCGGTGTTTCCCTATTTCCAAAAGGAGCCGAAATATATTTGTGCTTGTGTTTCCCGGCGGAGCCGGGTGAAACTCCGTGCCCGCCGGTGTGACTGACTGACTGACTAGCTGACTGACAGAACGTCAGAAGAGCACTTCTGACAACACATTTCAATCCGCCTGCGAGCGAAACCGCAACCGGACGACACATTTCAACCCGCCCGCGCGCGCAACCACAACTGCAACTGGGCGACGCAGTTCAGCCAGTCCGCGCGCGCAACCGCGACCGCAACTAGACGACGCACTTGAACCCGCCCGCGCAACCGCAAACGCAACCGCAACCGAGCGACACATTTCAACACGCCGGCGCAACAGCAACCCAAACCGCAACTGGGCGACACATTTCACCCAACCCGCGCGCGAAACCACAACTGCAACTGGGCGACGCATTTAGGGGGCCACATGCGAACCCTACCCCTGCCCCCCACGACTTCTGAGGGGGAGGGTGGGGTTCACTTCATTCAGGGGCTCCCGAGCGAAATGAACCCCACCCTCCCCCTCAGAAATCGTTGGGGTAGGGGTAGGGTTCGCATGTGGCCCCCTAGCATTTCAACCCGCCCGCGCGCAGCCGCGACCGCAACTGGGCGACACACTTCAACCCGCCCGCGTAACCGCGACCGAAACTGCAACCGCGCGACACAATTCAATCCGCCCCGGCAACCGCAACCGCAACCGCAACTGGGCGACACATTTCACCACGCCCGCGCGCGCAACCGCAACCGCAAATGGGCGACACACTTCAACCAACCCGCGCGCGGAACCGCAACCGCAACTGGGCGACACATTTCAACCCGCCAACGCAGCCGCAACCGCAACCGCAACCGGGGGACACATTTCAACCTGCCAACGCAACAACAATCCCAACCGCAACCGGGCGACACATTTCAACCCGCCCGCGCAACCGCAATCACAACCGCAACCGGGCGACACATTTCAACAACCCGCCCGCGCAACCGCAACCGCAACCGCAACCGGGTGACATATTTCAACCCGCCCGCACAACCGCAACCGCAACTGCAACTGGGCGACACGTTTCAACCCGCCCCCGCGCGCAACCGCAACCGCAACTGGGCGACGCACCTTATCCCGCCAATGTGCGCAACCGCAACCGCAACAAGGCGACACATTCCAACCCGCCCGCGCGCGCAACCACAATTTTAACTTGGCGACACATATCACCACGCCCGCGCGACCGCAACCGCAACCGCAACTGGGCGACACATTTCAACCCGCCCGCGCAACCGCAACCGCAACCGCAACCAAACGACACATTTCAACCAACCCGCGCGCGCAACCTCAACCGCAACCAAGCGAGACATTTCAACCCGCCCGCGCAACCGCAACCGCAGAACACACAATTCAACCCGCCCGCGCAACCGCAACCGCAACCGGGTGACATCTTTCAACCCGCCCGCGCAACCGCAACCGCAACCGCAACTGGGCGACACATTTCAACCCGCCCGCATAACCGCAACCGCAAACGCAACTGGGCGACACACTTCAACACGCCCGCGCGCGCAACCGCAACCGCATCCAAACGACACATTTCAACACGCCCGCGCAACCGCAACTGCAACCGCAACTGGGCGACACATTTCAACCCGCCTGCGCAACCGCAACCGCAATCGCAACAGGGCGACACAATTCAACTCGCCCGCGCAACCGCAACCGCAACCGCAACCAAACGATACATTTCAACCAGCCCGCGCGCGCAACCTCAACCGCAACCAAACGACACATTTCAACCCGCCCGCGCGCACAACCTCAACCGCAACCAAACGGCACATTTCAACCCGCCCGCGCGCACAACCGTAACCGCAATCGCAACCGGGCGACACATTTCAACCCAGCCACGCAACCGCAATCGCAACCAGGCGGCATAATTCACCCTGCCCGCGCACCGCAGCCGCAACCGCAACCAAACGACACATTTCAACCTGCCCGCGCAACCGCAACCGCAACTGGGCGACAAATTTCAACCCAGCTGCGCAACCGCAACCGCAAAAGGGCGGCACAATTCAACCCGCCCGCGCAAACGCAACCGCAACTGCAACCGGACGACACATTTCAACCCGCCCGCGCGCGCAACCGTAACCGCAACCGGGCGACGCATTTCACCTCGGGTACACACACACACATCATGGGTCACCTTGCCCTAGTATGCTCCTGCAGAGGATCTGAAGAGGAAAGAGGGTGGGATGGAGGAGGGATGGAGGGAGGAGGGAGGGAGGAGGGAGGGAGGGAGGGGGGCAGCAGGGAGGGGAGGAGGGAGGGAGGAGGGAGGAGGCAGGAGGGGGGAGGGAGGGAGGGAGGATCGCGAGGAGAGGAAGAGGAGGAGGAGGAGGAGGGGGAGGAGGAGGAGAGGAAGAGGAGGACGAGAGAGAGAGCGCGAAGAGGAGGATGGGCATGATGGCCTGGAGGAGGAGGAGAAGGAGGAGGAGGAGGAGGACGACAACGAGGAGGGAGGTTACGAAGGAGGAGGGGGAGGCAGATGAGGAGGACGAGGGGGAGGAGGAGGAGGAGGAGGAGGAGGAGGAGGAGGAGGAGGAGGAGGAGGAGGAGGAGGAGGAGGAGGAGGAGGAGGAGGTGGGCGAGGAGAAAGAGGACGAGGACGCGGCTTTCGGCCGAGACATTGCAGCGGGGAATCCCCGTTCCACGCTGCTGCCTCTGATATTTTTCATCCTGAGCATCGTCCCCCGAAGAGCTCGCCCAGGCCGGGCCGATCGGGCACGGCCCCGCCAGTCGTCCGGCGCTGCACGGAGGAAGCGGGCCGTGGCCCTGAGATCTGGGCGTGGCATTGTTTTCACACCAGGCGCTCTCGCTCGCCCAGCTCTGCGGCATTTCTGGCGGATGGTCGGTCTGCTGGGATGCGAAGGCTGCCAAGGGATCTTGGCTTGCGAAGGGCACGGACGCGCAGCAGCCAAATGGCTGTGGCTCAGGCCGCGATCCGGCAGCTCAATTCCCACGCGCGTGCACGCACGGCTGGGTCCTCATGCGATCGCATGCAGAGGACGTCTGCTGGGTCCGCGCGCGGAGGGCCGCCTTTCTGTATCCAGCATCACGAGGGCCGAGCACTGGAGCTCGGTAGCGTAGCCATATGCATGGCTGTATGCGGGCCCTTCGCGCGCGGACCCAGCAAAACGTTTTCTGCCTGTGGTCGCATGTGGATCCAACCGTGTGTGCACGCGTGTGGGAATCCCACCAGCCCTTTAGGGCGTAGGTTGTCTAGGGTGTTGTGCCTTCCATCTGCCCCTCTTCCCCTTCGGGGAGGGGTGTATCACTGTTCCCTATGAATATACACCCCCTCCCCCACCCGGCCGGCGGCCAACCCGGAACCATGCCGAACCCATGCGGGCCACCCCCCCCCCACCATCCCACTCAAAAAACAATGCAAAACGCACTCTGCCTCCACATTTGGAGCATGCGCTGCCAACCCGATGCGGCCACTCCCCGCCATCCCTGCCAACAAACTTTACAAAGGACACTTTGGGGCCGGCATGTTTCCCGATGTGTGCGGGCACGTGCGCAGGCGCACCTGACGCACTCTGCACGTGCCCTGAACGTGGCTCACCTGGCGCGGCTGGAGCGTTCGGCACACCTGGCGCACTCGGAGCACGTGGCGCATCTGGCGCACCAGGCGTGCCTGGCACGCTCGGGCCCCAGGGGTGCCTGGCGCGTGTGGCGCCCGTGGCACGCGTGGCGCGCCAGGCCCAAGCGTCGCGCACCTGGCGTCGGCTTTGGTTCCCAGTAGTTGTCCATCCAACGACGACCGCTGAACATGCTCAAGCTCGGGTGTTATTTATGCGTTGGGAGGGCAGGTGGGGGTGAGCTAGACGGCTTGCGGACGGGTGGGTGGTTTGACACCTCCCCCTAACCCCTCCCCTGGACCTGAACGGGGCCCCCCGCGAGGGGTTGGAGCGTCCAAGATGGCCCAAGATGGCTTCAAGAGCGCCTTGGAGAGCCCAAGATGGGCTCCAAACGGCTCAAGATATCCAAAGATGCCTCAAGATGGCTCCCAATATGCTCCAAGAGGCCCCAAGACCGCTTCAAGACGGCTCCAAGTGGCCAAAGAGCTCCACAAGGAGGCCCCGAAGAGGCCAAACTCATTCCCAAACCTGGCGGAACTCAATGGTGCTTGCTTTCTCGCCATTTCGCTGCCGAGGGCCTTCCGAGGCCCCAAGATGACACCAAGAGGGCCCTATGGGGGGCCCAACAGGGGCCCGAGAGAGCCCCAAGACGGCCCCAAGAGCGCCCCAAGAGAGGTCAAACATCGATGTTAGGCACTCTGGAATGGCGAGGGTATTTGAGGACCCCCCCTTTTTTGATCGATGTCCTCCAAATTGGCCCGAGGAGCGGCCTCGCCGCCCCGCTCCCCCGACCAGCTCTGTCTTGGCCCGAGATCATCAACTCTCAGATGTTGAAGGGAGGGTATGCTTTCGTAACTATCTGAGGCACGGGGCTAGGTATCTACGGTAGGTTCGTGCGGCGTCGGCGCGCGCAAAGGTTCGTGACACCGCGTCGATCATTTAATTTTGAATCGATCGCGGCCCCGATCGTTCAAGGTTCAATTCCGTCGGGCCCAATGGCGTTATCGTGTCCCTCGGTGCTTCCGCGTCGCAGAATTCAACCTTGAACTCCTTCGCCAGCGTCGCCAGCGCGCCAACGCCGCGCGAACCTACCGTAAACTTTCGGAGGTCCGCGCGAACCCCTCTGGTCGGCGCTGGACCCCTCCCCCCGGCACCCCCGGCGGTGCCTCGGGCACAGCCCCATTGGCGCGCTTCGCTCGCCAGGGACGGGGCGTGGGGAGGAGGGGCCCTGCAATGACCCGCGGGGAGGGGGGCCCAACGCGGACCCCCGAGAGTTGGTCGGTTCCGCCTCTCGTCTCTCGGACACCAGCGCGGATCATCGGATCCATCGAATTACCGAGAGCCCTGGCACCGACTCTGACCACAATATTGGTGTTCTCCTCCTGCTCCCCCATCCTCCTCCCTCCTCTACCTCCTCCCGCCCCATTATCCTGCTCGGACCTCCTCCTGTATCCTGCCTCCTCTTACCTCCTTCTACTCCTCCTATTACCTCATCAAACCTCGCGCCTGCCCTTCTTACATATATCGGGGATGGACAGACCCACCCCCCTTTAGTAAAACGTGGTTTAGTGAAAACGACCTGAGGCCCAAACCTGGCGGGCGCAAGCCTGGAAAACAACGGCCACGGCGCCCTCTCGAAAACCGAAAACGGACAATTCACTAATCGACGTGTCACTGTTGGGGGTTCTGTCCACCCCCGAATAGAATTGTACACTCGTGATACTCTGGCACCTAGCCAGCCGATGGCACGCCGATCCGCCGATCTGGCCTCAGTGCCGCTCCCAGTCCCCTTGAGAGTGGAACTCCCACGTGCACGCAGCGCACATCTGGCGCACCGCCGGTTGGCCGACGCGCGAGCGGGCGAGACCGCCCTTTTGTCGCCTCAGCATCGCACAGATCTCGCCTGATTGTGGCGCTCCCGCCTCGGCGCGGCTCATATCTCTCACTCGCCCAATCGTTGGAAGATTTTTTTTTGTTTTTTCCAACGATTGGGCTAACGATTGAACGATTGATAGCCCAATCGTTGGAAGATGCTTCCAGAACCGAACCGAACCGCCCGAACAGAACCGGGCCGAACCGAACCGGGGCGAACTGGTCTTTTCCCAACGCAGAGCTCACCGAACTGGCCGTTCCGACACTCGAACCGAATCGAACTGGCTTCGAATCTGATCCTGAACTGGGCCGAACCTCCTTCCGAACTGGACCGAACCGGACCGAACCAGACGACGACGAGTACAACGAATGCGACGAGCACGACGAGCACGGCGAATAGGACGAGTACGACGACGCGTACGACGAGCACGACGAACACAGCGAGTGCGACGACGCGTACGACGAGTACGGAAAGTACGACCAGTGCGACGACGAATGCAACGAGAACGACGGGCACCACGAGCACCACAAAATACGATGAGCGCGGCCTGAGCCTTCGCGGGCCCTCCCTCCCCAGATCCCCGACGTCATGATTTTTTCCATAACGTCGAACCCGAAAGGTCTCGACTCATGCCCTGGGACCGGTTTTTCATCCTGAGTCGTGTTTCGACGGCCGCGAAGCCCAGTAAGGGTCCCCAAAGGCCGAAACAAAGCGAAAAACCGCCCGTCACTACTTTTTCCTGACTCGAGGGGGTCTGGGTCGGGTGCACCCATATGGTGACCCCGCTCCAGTGCCCCCCTCGGGCGCCCCCCCCAGCGTCCCGCGCCCCTCCCCCTGGCCCGCACCGAACCTGACCCTCAACGACGACGACGACGATGACGACGACGATGGCCATGACGATGATGCTGACGAGGGTCGTCCCCAGTCAGGGACCACCCCCAGTCCTCAGACCCCATCCACGGACCTGGGGCAGGCGCCTCTCGCCGCCAGCGGCCAGCCGCCGGCGACGACGACTGCTGACGCCAGGCGGCGTGTGGGCGCATCCGCTTGGCCATCTGGCTGGCCGAGCTCGCCACATACGAACCACCCGAAATCCTCCTCCTCCTCCTCCTCTTCCTCCTCTTCCTCCCTTCCTCCTCCTCCTCCTCCTCCTCCTCCTTCTCCTCCTCCTCCTCCTCCTCCTCCCCCTCCTCCTTCCCGCCCCTCCCCCCTCCTCCCCGTTCGGGTGCCCCCCTCGACGGCCCCCTTCGGCGGCCTCCTCCCTCCTCCCCCTTCGGGGCCCGCACCGAACCGGACCATAGAGGATGATGACGATGACAATGGGAATGACGATGATAGCGATGACGATGGCGGCGACGACAACGATGACGATGATCATGACGATGGTGCTGACGAGGGCCCCCCGTCGAGGATCTCAGACCCTCCGACGACTGACGACCGACGGCGAGGGCGGAGACGGCGGCGGCGGCGGCCAGGACGAGGACGAGGCAGCGAGGCAGAGGACGGCGACGGCGACGGGGGCGACGGGGGCGACGACGAGGACGATGACGAGGCGGCGAGGCGCCGTTGGGGGCGGGGCCGCGCGTGTGGGCGACTTGTCGCCCGCACCCAAAAGCTCCGTGCAGAGTTCGCCTGAGAGGGTGGCTCCCGCGTGGGCGCGGCGCGCAATGATTCTGCTCACCGAGTCGCATGAAAGCCTCAGCGGCAGCGGAGCCGCGCGAGAGCGGGCGAAATGCCGTCGTCGCCCAAGCGCCTCACATTGTGCGCGTGAGAGTTGCAGTGTTTCGGGGGCCCCCGAGCGAAGTGAACCCCGCCCTCCCCCTCAGAAATCATAGGGGGTAGGGGTAGGGTTCGCATGTGGCCCCGCTTGTGCTTACAGGCCCGGCGCATGCTTCATCTTCGCCGCGATCACCGTGAAATTCCCCGCCCGCCGCCGCGATCAGCGGGCGCGAAGGCGCTTGCGCCCGCGCGAGGGCTCCCTCCCCACGGCCCGGCGAGGGGAGATCGTGGGCCGCGCCCGGCGGTGCGTCCCCGTCGCCGACGCGTCGACGACGACGACCACCACAACCACCCCCACCCCCACCACCACCACGACTGAATGCTGCTCTCGCCCTGGCGCCTCCCATGGACACTCGGAAGCCCCGCTCCCGCCCGTCGCGGCCCGCGCTCGTGGACGCGCGCCCGGTCGTCGCCAGCGGGGCCGCGCGCGAGCGCCTTCCGTTCGCGCTCGCGTCAAACCGTGCCACCGTTGATTCGTACACCCTGCGAAATGCTTAAGAAATCATGGGTTAAGAAATTCATAGTCTCAGAACTTGAATAAAAAGCAATTGTTTTTTTTTTTTTTTTAATCTTAGGATTTACATTAAAACATTAAGAATCATCGAGACTCTGGCCGAAAACTTGGGTTTTCTTAAGCATCGCCTAAGGTGTATGCTGTGGGAGGGCAGGCGGGAATGGGCGGACCCCGCTGGCTCGCGCGACCTCGCCAGCTTGACCTATACGGCCGGCTCCGCCTCCGTTGGCATATCCTCCTGCCCGCTCCTCCCCTGAGCTCCGATGCCGTGATCTCTGCCACACGGGGCCCCCCGGAAGTCTCGACCCGTGCCCCAAAGGACCGCTTGGTCTTCCTCCGGCGCCCTTTTGTCGATGGTCCCCGGGGGCCTGGCGAGGGCCTCCGGAGGCCGACAACCGGGAAGACCGAGAGGTACCACTACCTGGACCTCTCCCGGGGTGCGGTCTGCACAGGATTCCGAGCCGAATCCGGCGGTGGCGACGAGAGACTCCAAGGGGGCCAGAAGAGGGAAACCGAGGGAACGGTACAGGTATGGGTACTCTCTCTTCCTCCTCGGGAAAGCGCCACAGCAACGCCGCCCTGATCTCTTCGATACGGTGGATCTCTCGGGGCCGTCGTCCCCCTCCTCCTCGTCATCCTCCTCCTCCTCCTCCTCCTCCTCCTCCTCCTCCTCCTCCTCCGCCTCCGCCTCCTCCTCCTCCGCCTCCGCCTCCTCCTCCTCCTCCTCCTCCTCCTCCTCCTTCTACCCCTCCTTCTCCTCCTCCTCCTCCTCCGCCTCCTCCCCACCTGCGGCCTCCCACAGCCGCGTCTGGTCGGCTCTCGGCAGCCGCGAGAACGGGCCCGTGCAGCCCCTCTGCAGGAAGACGGCCTGCCGGAAGGAGCTCATCACCTCGGCTGGCCGGCGGGCCGAGGGGCGGCCCGAGGCTAGGCACTGGGGCAGCGGGTCCCCTGCCCCCTCTCCTCCTTCACGAACTCCTGTGTGCACCCTCGGCCAACGCATACGTTCACAAATGAGGGTCGCAAGCGCACCTCCACCGTACTTACATCGCAACCCAGCGCACCAGTCGAGCTCCTCAATCCTCACTCCTCACTCGGCACTCCTCCCCTCCCCAAGAACAGGAAACCAAATAGCCATGCTGCCATCATTTCCCTCGTTTTCCCGCTTCGGGGGCCTCCTGGGAGGCCCCCGTCGCCACCGCTGGTTTCGCTTCGAAATCCTGGTCAGAGCTCACCCCGGGCGAGGTCCGGGGAGTAGCGGTATCGGTGCCTTTTGGTTTCCTCCTCCACCCCTTCTCCTGATGGGCAACTCCTGCCTGTTGCGCCCACAGGCATGTCCGTTGGCCAGGGCGAGCGCTCCCTGGATACTGCCTCGCTGCCTCACAGCTTACCACCCTGAAGTCTCCAACTGTTGCACGGATGGCGTGGCTCTCCATTTTTCGCCGCGCACATTCGCCATAAAACCTTGCGACAAATAAACGGATGGAGGCCAGGCCCTTTTCAAAGTGTGTCTCGCCCTGTTGCCGCGCACGATCGCACTAAAAACTTGCAACAATTACACGGATGGAGAGGCGGGGTCTTTTTCAAAATGGGGCCCTTGCCTTAGCGCGAGGCACGTTCGTCTTAAAACGCAATGCAGCAAATACAACGATGGAACCTGGTTGGAATATGGAGCTTTGGCCTGAAACTTCTTAAACAACTGGCACCCGCGTGTAGAATTGTAAAAGAAGTAGCGCGGACAAAACCGGCTCCTTTCAAAATGGGACTCGTAGTAGTAGTAGTAGTAGTAGTAGTAGTAGTAGTAGTAGTAGTAGTAGTAGTAGTAGTAGTAGTAGTAGTAGTAGTAGTAGTAGTAGTAGTAGTAGTAGTAGTAGTAGTAGTAGTAGTAGTAGTAGTAGTAGTAGTAGTAGTAGTAGTAGTAGTAGTAGTAGTAGTAGTAGTAGTAGTAGTAGTCGTAAACGTAGACGTAACGTAGACGTAGTCGTAGTAGTAGTCGTAGTGGTCGCAGTAGTAGTAGTAGTAGTAGTAGTAGTAGTAGTAGTAACAATAGTAGTAATAGGAGTAGTAATAGTAGTAGTAGTAGTAGTAGTAGTAGTAGTAGTGGTGGTGGTAGTAGTAGTAGTAGTAGTAGTAGTAGTGGTAGTAGTGGTAGTAGTAGTAGAAGCAGTAGTAGTAGTAGTAGTAGTAGCAGTAGTAGTAGTCGTAGTAGTGGTAGTAGTAGTAATAGTAGTAGTAGTGTTCGTAGTATGCGTAGTGGTAGTACTAGTAGTAATCGTCGTAGTCGTAGTGGTAGTCGTAGTAGTAGTGGTGGTAGCAAAAGACGTACTAGTAGTAGTGGTGGCAGTAGTAGTAGTAGTAGTAGTAGTAGTAGTAGTAGTAGTAGTAGTAGTAGTAGTAGTAGTAGTAATAATAGTAGTAGTCTTAGGAGAAGTAGCAATAGTCGTAGTAGTCGTAGTAGGCGTAATAGTCGTAGTGGTAGTCGTTGTAAAAATAGAAGTAGTAGTCGTAGTCGTGGAAGTAAAAGTAGTAGTCGTAGTAGCAGTAGTAGTTGTAAACGTAGTAGAAGTAATGCCAATAGTAGTGGTAGTAGTAGTAGTAGTAGTAGTTGTAGTAGTAGTAATAGTAGCGATAGTGACAATAATAGTAGACGTAACAGTGGTGGTCGTAGTCTGAATTGTGGTGGTAGTAGCGGTAGTAGTAGTAGTAGTAGTAGTGGTAGTAGTAGTAGTAGTAGTAGTAGTAGTCGTAGTAGTAGTAAAAGTAGTAGGAGTACGAGTAGTAGTAGTAGTAGTAGAAGTAGTAGTAGACGAAACAATAGCAGTAGTAGTCGTAATAGGCGTAGTAGCCCAAGTTGAAGTAGTCGTAGCAGTAGCAGTAGTAGTAGTAGTAGTAGTAGTAGCAGTAGCAGTAGTAGTAGTAGTAGTAGTAGTAGTAGTAGTAGTGGCAGCCGTAGTCGCAGGAGTCGTAGTAATAGAAGTGGTAGTCGCAGTAGTAGTAGGACTAGTAGTAGTAGTAGTAGTAGTCGTAGTAGTGGTAGTAGTAGTAGTAGTGGTAGTAGTAGCGGTAGTCGTAGAAGTGATACTAGTAATGGCATTAAAAATACTATCATCAATATTCGTCGTACAGATATGGTTAGTATGTTTGCAGTCGTGGTAAACGTAGTAGTCGTGGTAATAGTCGCAGCAGCAGTAGTAGTAGTAGTAGTAGCAGTAGTAATAGTAGTAGTAGTAGTAGTAGTAGTAGTAGTAGTAGGAAGAGTAGTTGACGTCTTAGTAAAAGTAGTAGCCGTCGTCGTAGACGTAGTAGTAGTAGTAGTAGTAGTAGTAGTAGTAGTAGCCGTCGTAGTAGGAGTAGTAGTAGCAATCGTAGTGGTAGTAGCAGTAGTTTGAGAAGTAAGGGTTATAGTGGTAGTAGTGGTAGTAGTAGTAATAGTAGTATTAGCAGCAGCAGCAGCAGTAGTAGTAGTAGTAGTAGTAGTAGTAGCAGCAGCAGTCGTAGTAGTAGTGGTAGTCGAAGTAGACGTAGCAGTAGCAGTAGCAGTAGTAGTAGTAGTAGTAGTAGTAGTAGTAGCAGTCGTAGTAGTAGTAGTAGTAGTAGTAGTAGTAGTAGTAGTGTAGTAGTAGTAGTAGTAGTAGTAGTAGTAGTAGTAGTAGTAGTAGTAGTAGTAGTAGTAGTAGTAGTAGTAGTAGTAGTAGTAGTAGTAGTAGTAGTAGTAGTAGTAGTTGTAGTAGTAGTAGTAGTAGTAGTAGTAGTAGTAGTAGTAGTAGTAGTAGTAGTAGTCGTAGTCGTCGTAGTCGTAGTAGTAGTAGTAGTAGTAGTAGTAGTAGTAGTAGTAGTAGTAGTAGTAGTAGTAGTAGTAGTAGTAGTTGTTGTAATACTAGTCGTAGGTAGCAATATCAGTAGTAGTAGTAGTCGTCGTAATCGTAGTTGCAATAAAAGAAGAAGACGAATACTAATAAGAACGGCCATGACATCTGGAAGCCGTCTTGACCAGGCCATTGTATCGACACACTCCTACGGTTGAGAGCTTTTGCTTCGCGTATTGCAGTGGCGGCCCTGGCGACACGCTATGCCCTGCCAGCGGTTAGCGCGTCGCTCCGCTCCGCTGGGCGGGAGGCTGGAAAAATCCCGGGACGTTGACGTTGGGGGACCAGGACGTTGATAGCGTGTCGCGCCGAAACGCGGTGGACAAAAACTGTCGGAGCAACACGCTAAGCGAAAAAAACCTGATCGTATCCGCACACACATACCGTCAATCATCACCCCCTAGGCGGCGCGAAGAGCGGGGTAGGAGGAGGCGGGGAGATTCCTAAACCAACAAAATGCTTCTCAGAAGGCGCGGGGCTTGCATCTTTAGGCAAGGCCCGCGAATTCCAAGAAGCAGAAGTGCTTCTAAGAATCCTCATCCCCTCTCCCTACCCCCCTCTACGCGTGGCCGAACACTGTCAAGCCTCTCCCCCCCGTGGACGCACCCGACCTTAGGGTACGGCGACGTCGCTGGAACTTAGGCCACCCGGTCGCCACGCGCTGCAGCGCCCCGGCGCCTCCGAAGGGCGTCAGCCCGGCCTCCGCGGGGGCTCCCGAGGCTCAGGGATCGAGGTGGCTCGCTTCGAGGAGGGAGCAGCACCACCTCCTCCTCCTGCTCTTGCTGCTGCCGCACCTCCTCCTCCTCCTTCTCCTCCTGCTTCTCCTACTTCTCCTCCTGCTCCTGCTCCTGCACCGGCTGCTGATGCTGCCGCTCTTCCTCCTCCTCCTCTCTTCCTCCTCCTCCTCCTCCTCCTCTTCCTCCTCCTCCTCCTCCTTATCATCCCTCCCCTCCTCCCTCTCATCCCTCCCTCCTCCCTCAACCCTCCTCCTTTCCCCCTCGTCCTGGATCTTCCAGAGGGGGCAGGCACCGCAGGACGTCAGCGTGCGCACGGCGTGCATGAATCTTCGGGCCAGGCTTTGAGGGCGCGTCGGGGTCACGGGTGTCGGGCGTGCGGCTGGCGGGCCCCAGTCCCTGCAATCTCTGGGCGCTTTCGGTTTGACCGAGGCTGATCATTAGGTGAGTTGTTGTGGAAGCTCGTTCTAACATATACCGCCTCGGTTTAGTAGCTTTTAGTGGCCTTTAGCGGCCTTTAGTGTAATATTAGCGGGCTTTAGTGGCCCTTCGTCGCCTTTTGGCAGCCGTTAGTGGCCATCAGCGGCCTCGAGCAGCCCTTGCTGGACTTCAGTGGCCTTTCTAGTCGCCTCTACAGGAGCGCAAGGAAGTGCATCGCGTACGATAAAATGAGCTTCTTCCAAAAAGATGCACTTAATGATTTGTCCCTTCGTAGACGTCCTTGGGAAACGCCTCCTTTCGGAAACAGAAGAGGAGTTGTTTGAGTCGACCTCGGAGGCAGGAGACGACAGCGCCTCGGACCTCGAAGCGGCTGAGGGCTAACACGCCCACTAACCAACTTCAGGCTGCTGTCTCATATCATAATGTATTACTTGAGTGGCTCCGTCGCCTCACATCACGGCTTCGATCAGAACGTACACAGAACTCGCTTCAAACAAACAATAACCCCATACCAGAAAACAACGCTCTAACCGCACACAAAGTTGGCACGCACACGCACAAACAATGGAAAAGGCCAAGGCCTGGAGGCGAGGCGGCGGCGGCGGCGCGATCAGCCGCGATCAGCCGTGGGCAACGGCGGCGACGCGCTGGACGCCACCGACAGCGTCGCCTACGATGATGCCGACACGGGGGCCGACTAGAGCACGACAACGACGGAAGCAAAAGCTGACATCGGCCAACCCCTCCCCTCGTACCCCGTCCACCCTGGTGATCCCACTGCCACTCTTGACCGCGCTCCCCCCCCAATCCTTCGAAGAACCGCCCCGGAAGTGCGCCGTGAGGTCTAGTGGCACGGGCACCTCGCGCCCGACCAGCACGTCGCAGAGCACCCCCAGCGGGTGGTGCCACCTCGGCGCCGCGCTGCTCCTCCTGGGTGCTCTTCCTCCTCCTCCTCTCGATCGCCCTGCTCCTCCTGACCCTCCTCCTTCTCATCATCCTCCACCTCCTCTTTCTCCTCCTCCTCCTTTTCCACCACATTGTCTCTTCCTCCCCTTCCTCTTCCTCCTCTTCCTCATCCTTCTCCTCCTTCTTGTCGTGGTGCTCCTCCTGCTGCTGCTCCGCCACTTCCTCCTTCTCCTCCTCCTCTTTCTCCTTTCCAATCGCCCTGAACTCCAGGTAATAACCCCCTCTGGGATAATAGAGTTCGGGGCCAAGCGGGATAATAAACGTTTCCCCGGAAATCTCAGCATAATAATGAACATGCTGACGAAGATGATGATCAAGGCGATCCTGAACACTCATAAGAATAATATCAACCATGGTTGATCCCAAATAGATCAAAACGGCTCACATCAACGAATCAGAGGGATCGAGCATGCATGGAATCCACAACGCAGCAAGTAAGCAAGCGTGCAAGCAAGCGCACAAGCGCGCAATCAAGCAAGCAAGCGTGCAAGCAAGCAAACACCAACGTAAGCAAGCAAAAACGCAAGTAAGCAAGCAAGAACACATACATAAGGGAGGGTACCATTGAAAAAGTGGGGGGGAGGGGGGGGGGCCATTGGAAATAATGGGGGGGGGGCCATTGGTGCATAGGCATAGGCAAAGATATGCGTAGGCATAGGGGGAGGCATGGGCGTAGGCATAGGCATACCCATAGACATTAGGAGGGGCATAGGACTTAGGGGCTGGGGGGGGGGGGAACGGACCAATGAGTAGAGAATGCGTTCGAATTCCTATAGAGCTAGCCTATTTGGATAATTACACACGTCCGTCGGAGTCTTTCGGGCATCAATAGGAAATTGAATGCCATAAGGCTCGTTGGGGTATGCGTCGCCTTGCATAGGTGACCCGTAGAAATCGAATTGAAGCCCATACACGCCCGATGGAATTACATGGGGCCCCTTGAGATACCAATGGGGATCCGAAGGACGTCGGTCAGGATCTCTACGCAAACGATAGAACACCAGGGAAATCGCCCCCTTAGGACATCCATCGGAAGCCTAAGGGCACGCATTGGAATCATTCGGGGTTCCATTGGATTCCTCGGGCAATCCATAGGAGCCCTGTGGAAGTCCATCGGGGTCCTTCGGGCGGCAAAAAGATCCATCTGGAAATCCAACGGATTCCTTCGGCAACCAATCGTGTTTCATAGGAACCCCATGAGACTCCGACGGGAATACGTGCAACTCTTTGAAATACCGGTTGGAGCCGCAAGGCAATCGATTGGGCCCCTTAGGACATCAACGCAATGCCTTAGGATATCCATCGGAATTCTTAAGGCGCCAATAGGAATCCGATGGACATCTGTGGGGTTCCTTCGGGCATCCATGCAATTCTTCGATCAAGTCATCGGATCCCTTTGGACATCGATCGGAATCCTGTGGGAATCCGTGGGGCCCCTTCGGGAAGCCATGCGATTCCTGCGTAAGCCATAGGAGTCCTTAGACAACCAATTGGGTTCCTTATGACATCCATAAGAATCCAATTGACACCCATGAGATGCCTGAGGACATCCATGGGGATCCGAAGGGGATCTGTTGCATCCCACGTAAATCCAAGACTTTCCTGGTGACATCCATAGGAATGCGCTGGACATCGATAAGATTCCTTAGGGTATCCATCGGGGTCGAAAGGTAACCAAGTGTATTCCTAAGGGCTCTTAGGGCATCCAGAGAATCCCATAGGGGACTCTATAGGGATGCTTGAAGATGATGGAGAAGGTGGCGAAGATGCTGACAACTATGATTCCCCGCTCTTGCTGCTCTAGGTGATCGGCGAGAGTTGGTTTCTAGAGCTTGCCTGAGAGCTCGAGGTCCTCAACGTTCCTCGCCGACAGATCTCTCTTGCGCACGCGCTCAAAGCACTCGCCCACGCGCGCTCGGCATTATCTTGGGGCCGCCCTTGCGCGGGAGGCACCTCGCGCGCGCTAGCGCTAGCCAGCGCCTCCTCGAGGCCGCCGTGCATGGGCTCTGGCGCTGTCGGGCCACTTGCTCCTGGCCTTGGCCTTGGCCTTGGCCCTGGTCGCGGCGGAGCGGTTGTCGCTCGCGCCCTGCAATTTCTGGATCCACTCGCTGCCTCGCGCGCGCGCCTGGGTGGCGCCGACGGGCGGCTGGCGGCCCTCGCCCTGGATCTCGCGCAAGGCGCGCTCGACCCATCTCGTCACCCAAGGGCCGCAAGTCCAGCCATCCGCTTGGAACGCCCTGTTGGTTGCTGCTCGCAAGGCATCCCTCGGCAGGGCCAATGGCGCCGAACTCCCGGGGGGTCCTCGCGGCGGACTGCTTGCTTGGCGTTCTCGGACGGCTGGTTGAGGGCGTCGCGGCGCCCGGCCCTGCTTCGATGCCTCGAGGCAGGTGTAATGCGCGGGGGCCTCGGAACGCGCCGAGATCAGTCGGCGCTCGGCCTCTAGGACTCTCTCGGCGTAGCGCTTCCGCCCCTCGGGCCGCTGGGCGGCGGGCTCGCCCTTGCCCCGGCCCTAGCCCAGGCGACGGCCGCCGTGTGCTGGATCGCCAGAACGTCCTCGGGGGCGCCCGCGCGCTGCTCGATCTCGCCAAGCAGCGCGTCCACCGCGCCCAGCTCGAGGGCGTCGCCCTGCTTGATCTGATCGCAATTCATGATCGGGCACTGCTTGGCGAGCTCGGTGCGCCGCGGTGACCTGCTAGATGCCTCCCAGATGGGGCCCCTGTCAGATGCGGCCGGAAAGTCGCGCAAGATCGCCGATGCATCGGCGACGCGTCGGCCACGCATCGGCCATGCGTCGGCGACGTCGGCGGCGCATCTGCGACGTCAGCGTTGAGAAAGACGGGCTCCGCATCGAGCCGCATCAGCGACGCGTCGGCAATTCGGCGCGATCCTTCGACTCCATCTACCCGGATCCCAGCTTGGAGGCCTAGTCCTGCACGTGCGCCAATTGATTTTGGCCGCCTCTGGGAAATTATAAGCCTGCTCGACCGTGGCCTGCGGGTTTCGAGTATTCCTTTGGAAATCCGGAGGGTTCCTTCGGGAGTCCATCGGGTCCCTGAGGAAAACCATCGGACTGCACTTGAGATCTATGATATTCATATGGGCTCTATGGGCTTCCTTAGGACACCTTTAGGAGTCCATGAGAAATTCATAAGATTCCGATAAACAAACCCATACTATTCTTCCAGGTTCTACACAGGACGCCTAAGGACATCCATAGGAATCAGCAAGACATCCATAGTTTTCCTTGCGGAAGCATCCGGCTTCCTCTGTGAATCCATATGGAGTTCCGGGCTGTGGACGACGCATGCGGGCGTTGTCACTGGGGTCTTTCTGTGAGCTCCCTATGGGGCCACGAAGCGCTGTGCTGACGCATTCGGGCGATTCCACTGGGGACATCGGTGGAGTTTCCTGTGGGGCCACGAAGCGCTGCGCTGGGTGGTGGCTGACGCATGCGGGCGGCCCCGCTGGGACCTTCGGTGGGGCCCCTCATGGGGCCACGAAGCGCTGCGCGGGGCGGTGGCTGACGCATGCGGGCGGCGCCACCGTGGGCCCCCTATGGGGCCACGAAGCGCTGTGCTGGGTGGTAGCTGACGCATGCGGGCGGTGCCGCGGGGGCCTCTGGTGGAGCTCTCGATGGGGCCGCGAAGCGCGGCAGTGGGTCGGTGAATCGCAGTGGGGAAAGACTGTGCTGGGCGGTGGCTGACGCGCGCGGGCGGCCCCACTGGGGCCTTCGGTGGAGCTCTCTATGGGGCCACGAAGCGCTTTACTGGGTGGGTGGAATGCAGGGGGGGAGGGCCGTGGTGGGCGGTGGTTGCGGCAAGGGCGGCCCCGCTGGGATCTTCGGTGGAGCCCCCTATGACCCCACGAAGCGCTCTACTGGGTAGGTGAAGCGCAAGGGGGGGGGGCGTGCTGGGTGGTGCCTGACGCATGCGGGCGGCATCGCTGGGACCTTCGGTAGAGCTCCCGATGGGGCCACGAAGCGCTGTGCTGGGTGGGTGAACGCAAAGAAACAGGGCAGTGCTGGGTGACGCATGCGGGCGTCGCCGCTGGGACCTTCGGTGGAGCTCTCGATGGGGCCGCGAAGTGCTGCAGTGGGTCGGCGAAGCGCAAGGGGAAAGGGCTGCGCTGGGTGGTGGTGTACGCGCGCAGGCGGCCCAACTAGGACCATCGGTGGAGCTCCCTATGGGGCCGCGAAGCGCTGTGCTGGGTGGGCGAAACGCAAGGACGAAGGGCAGTGGTGGGTGGTGGTTGACGCATGCGGGCCCACTGGGGCCTCCGGTGGAGCTCCCGATTGGAGCCAGGAAGCGCTGTGCTGGGCGGGTGAAAAGCACAAGGGAAGGGCTGCTCTGGGTGGTGTTTGAAGCGCGCGGGCGGTCCCACTGAGGCCTTCGGTGGAACTCCCTATGCGGCCGCGAAACGCTTTGCTGGGCCCGCGAAACGCAGGGGGGGGGGGGGGGCGCGGGGGGGGGGAAGGAGATCGCGGGGGCTGTCTCTTCAAAGCGGTGGCCCCACACCGCACCGCGGGGTGGCCGGGGCAAAATAGCTTGGCGAAGAACCCAGCAGTATGCAGTTATGAGTACCGCAGTTGTGGGCGTCGTCTTCGGTGGAGCTCACTGTTGCCACGACGCGCTTTGCTGGGAAAGGGGGGCCCATGTGGACGCCGCCGCTGCGACGTTAGGCGGGGCTCCATATGTGGCAGCGAAGCGCTGTGCTGGATTGTGGAGACGCATGTGGACACAGTCGCTGGGGCGTCGCGTGGTGCTCCCCATGCGGCCACGAAGCGCAGTGCCAGGTACGGGGGGGCGCATGCGGACGCAGCCGCTGTGGCCTTAGGTGGGGCCCCCTATGGAGCCCCGAAGCGCTGCGCTGGGTGGGGGGTGCGCATGTGGACGCCGCCGCTGGGGCCTTCGGTGGGGCGCCCTATGGGGCCACGAAGCGCTGTG